ATTCAACGCTATCCAGTCCATTCAATACAAGAGTCGAGTACGTACAATTGAGGAGCTGATTGACTTGGTCAAACAATCGTTCAGTGACTTGGAACCCCGTGCTTTGAATGACATTTTCTTATCGCTACAGAATGTAATGAATTGGGTCCTGGAGAAGCGCGGGTCAAACAAGTTCAAGTTACCTCATCTGAGCAAGAATCGTTTGCGCCGCAGAGGTCGATTGCCGATTTCATTGCATGTTTTTGGTGGTAGCTAGCAGATACTAGTAAACTTCTCATGAATTTACTACGTGTTAATAGCCAATCAGTGTTGTCCATAAACTTCTTTGACCAATAGTCGAGGACTGACATTATGTTTGGACCAAAATTCGATGAGGTCGCTGACATTTCGTTTGGACCAGAGCAGTACAGTACTACACCACTTCACGGTCAAGTTGAAATGTTTTTCCAATCAATGTGAAACGTCCAGATAGGTATAAAATTTCACAAGTGAAGTGATGTGCAAAATTTCGGCCCAACACGAAGAATACTCCAATCAATGTGAAATATGAAAGCGGGAAATGTAGGCGCGAAAGCAATGTGGCTAATGAAGATTTTGGTTCACTTCACATTTCATCGTGCCGCAATGCCCACTCCGCCAAAGCGCATAGGCCCGACGACCGAGGAGAAGCAACGTATGCATGACGCGTATCAACGCGGCGACGATTAGAAGCTACAACACGTCAAGCCGTGGTATCGGAGAGTCCATTGTGCCTGGCAACGAGCTACCAATCGTCGCCGCGTTGATACGTGTCATGCATACGTTGCTTCTCCTCGGTCGTTGGGCCTATGCGCTTTGGCGGAGTGGGCATTGCGGCACGATGAAATGTGAAGTGAACCAAAATCTTCATTAGCCACATTGCTTTCGCGCCTACATTTCCCGCTTTCATATTTCACATTGATTGGAGTATTCTTCGTGTTGGGCCGAAATTTTGCACATCACTTCACTTGTGAAATTTTATACCTATCTGGACGTTTCACATTGATTGGAATCATTTCAACTTGACCGTGAAGTGGTGTACAAGGGTAAAGTTGAAATTCATCTACAGTGGTATCAATAATTATATGACTGGGAGTGTTTTGAATGCGCTGGGGTCATGAATAAATTTACTTGTACTTGGGGCAATACATGATGTAAACCATATAGTAAGTCGATCACGTTCAGAGTGTTTCAGGCACTGGAAACCGTTGTCATCGCCAATGACACAATAATATATAAATTTTCAAGGAAATAATGACATGACATGTGCACAAATCTCATGTTAGTACTTAATTTTGCGACCTCTGGCAGCAATAATCAGGTCACAACGCTTTGGCATCCCAGCAACGAGCTTTTCCAACATTGAGACATCAATTTCGTCCCATACTTTACGGAAACAAGCAATCAGATCGGCTTTTGTCGAAAACTTGCGTCGACCATTGTCGTAAACCTTGCGGGACATACTACCCCACAGATGCTCGATTGGGTTTAGGTTGGGCGACTTGGCAGGCCACTTGATAACGTCAATCGACACTTCAGGCTCCTTGAACTACTGCATTACAGCGCGTGCAGTGTGGATGGACACGTTGTCCTGCTGGAAACAGAAGTTGTTCATGTGCTACACGACGTTTGGGGCTTGCTCCTCGCCAAGGTACCGCCTGCAGTAATTACACACATGACCTCCGCTTTGCTCCGGCTGGCACAATGTTATGGGTGGAGGCTCTGTCGTCGCTCGTTGCTGTAAGGCAAATCATCTTATTCGGTGCAAGACAAAGGTATGTCAGAACATATTGCACTGGTTCGGACAATATATGTGGTAATACATGGAACAGAGTCGTCAACAATTTTCAATCAAACATACGTTTAAAAACGTATCCGAAGCGTGTCACTTGTACGAACAATGAGGAGATTCTACCAAACGACTTTATTCTTCGTCATGTTTGGAGCTGGCCGTACTCCTCCGTCGACGTATGTCAAAACCATGACTCATACTACTACAAAAATTTTCCAGTGTACGACTTCCGATAGGTGGAATTTTTCTAAGTGTCGTTCAAAACGAGTGGCAATTGGTATATTAGAAAGCGCAATATCTCTGCTTTGATTGGGTAGTTTGTGAGCGTTGTAAAGCGTTTTTGTTCATGAGATATTGGGCTGTAGTGTTTGGTTCCCGTGGCAACGACCGCGAGAACTCAACTCTTGAGCAAGCAAAATTGACACTGAATTAATGGACAGAGTTTAAGGGTCCACCTTTCTAACTACAGCCATTCATTCACCTCTCCACTACTAACACCAGCACTCAGTGAATACATCTGGAAGCTTAGCCAGACCTCCCGCTCTACAGGTTAAAATACCCCGATAGCAGGAGGTCAAGCTAACGTGCGACCTTGGCTGCTCTGCTCACGGCAGAACATATGTGCGAAAGGTGCCATCTCGTTTCGTCCAAACTTTGACCTATCATACTATCCTTCAAACGTTTTTTCATATCGCACTAACAGCACACACCCATCCTGCTATTCTAAACCATGCCAATGCAACTCGCCATCAGCACTGCCGACCACCCAGGGAATCTCCATGGCTGAAATGGCGGCAAAATCCACCTCGACCATGAGGAGCGCCGCGCCATCTTCGACAGACTGCGTTTCGCCTCGTCCCCTGGCACACTGCCTTGTTCGTGGTGCCATCTTGCGGCTTGCCAGGAGTTGAACTGCCACTCGGATATGCTGTCGCCCATTTAGGTCCGCTGACAGCGTTCGTCCCGAGCGGGCCACATTTGTGCCGATGTCACATCGCAAATCCGAGAAATACCGCTAAGTTTATATATTGTTTATTGACTTCGAAAAACTTTGTTTTCTAATGGTGTACAATACACGTGTTGGAACTTGTACGACGTTGTGAATTTGCAAATCATGAGCGAGGTTCTAACGATATTTAGTTTTGTTTTGGCACAAAAAATTTGGTTATGTGTACTGTTATGTGCTTTCTTTACCAGCATTCTTTGGGAATGACGCTTCCACTTGAGGACCATGCTTTCAAAATTTGAGCCCATGGAATCGCGTTTTTCCAAATTTGTGATTTGAACTGATTTGATGTGAATTGGACTTTTTAGATGTGATGAAACTCTGCACTCTTTTTCGGGGTTTAATCGTAAATACTTCCTCTGACCCACGATACTTTACCAAACAAAAAACACACATTTTCCACATTACTCAAACCAAACTCTATGATTGGTTCACCAAGACAATCAATACATTCATTGGTTATTAATCCTAGCCTACAACAGAAGCGAGACAGGGCAGGACACGTTCGACATCAGAAGACTGGCACGGCGCATAGCCGCCTTCTTTAGGTGAGGCATGACGTAGTTGTTCCCACCATGCTCGAGTACCAGCCGCATCACCGCTTGGACGGTGAGAAAGACGCTCTCGAGTTTCCCATTGCTCAACTCATCAAAGGCAGCGAGGATGTACGGGATGACCTCTTCACCAGTTCTGGTGAAAGCGCCACGGACTAACTTGCCAGCCTTAAGGTAGTGGTGCAGGTGTTGGATCACTTCTACTGTCTTGGTGCTTGATATCTCTTGAGAGGCTTGGCTCATGGCGGCAAATTCAAAAGTGTTTTGATTTATATATGTGGCGTATTTTTATTCGGGTCGTGGATATAAAACTTTGAGCGCCAACATTCAAATTCAGCCCCCGACAGCCCATGAACGGCTCCTGTGGGTTTTAATGCTCTTTATATAATGTCAATCAAACATCTTTAGAATTTAAATTCGCGATATCGGATTAAATTTTGATGATGATATAAAAATCAGATATATTAAATTGTCGGGAGAATCTTTATCATTTGAATATTATTATACACGAGGCGCAGAAGGAGGTGACGAAGACAGATCCGGGCTTCTTGCGCGAATGGAAGGTATCTTTGCGGAGTCGAATTTCGTGGATGAAGTACAATGAAAATATTGGGACTGGAATTTCTTCCCCGTGTCCTCCTGGATCGATCTATTTCAGTATATTGTTTTCATCGTAATCAAGAATTTTGGACCGAAACTGTAACCGGGCCCACGAAGAGTAGGGAAAATTAAGAATGAATTGGCAGGGATATGCTATTTAGCTCTACTAAATGAATATGGACAATTGTGTCGACTCGTGGGTAGGGTCGCTAGCAACCCAGGCGACTTGTTGGGAGGTCGCCTGCATCCTTGGAATGGTCGGCTTCAATGTCAATGAAGATCTTGACATGCATCCGGACAACAGTCCGTCGAATTGTTACAGAAACGCTACCCAGCTTCATCTAGTTCAACGCGGTATGTTAAGTTCTAACGAACACTTTGTAGTCATAAATTTCATGAGTTGTTCGTTGCAGAGGTGGTAAAAACCGACTTTTTTGCCTTACAAATCGGGTTTAAGGTTTTAATCATTAAAACCCGATTCCTGGGTATTAAAACCATGGTTTTATTCCAGGTAACATTAGTCGAAGTTGGCATGATCGGAATCACTCTCGCTGGCGTAGTCATCGCCCGTCGGACAACTGTAGAACGCACCCATGTTGCTCGTGATGAACACGAGCTTCTCAACTGTCTTGGCGCTCAGAGAGTTCCTCAGCTTAGAATGGATGAAGCCATCGTTGAGAAGTTTCGCTCGGATGCTGAACTAAACAGACCGATCGCGACGCTGTGCAAATATGCCTACTGACATCCATCGATATTGCTGTCGTCGGCGATGTCGCTTTCGATGTCGATGACGACGGCCTCCGCCTCCTCAACTATGTCGGACATGGTCACACAAGTGCAATGGAAACTGCCCATTGCTCACCTCTCAACGATGAGCGCAGTCCGCACCCCATTAAAACCCGATTTCGGAATAAAACCCGAATTTGTTTGACCTCAGATAATCGGGTTTTATATTAAAACCTGAAAAGAACAGATTGCAAAAACCAGGGTCTGCCACCCATCTCGCTACCTTCAAACCATGGTGTTCTTGAACGGCGACAATTCAGCAATGCTGTACAGTGATGCCTCCATTTTCGCAACGACCGAAATCAATAAACAATGAAAGGAATAAGTTTACAATGGTTTGGTACAACACGTTCTGCAGACAATTCAAATGTATTCATTTAGCTGATCCAGACATCAATCGACAGTGCAGAGCCAATTCGAAGGCTTTCAAGTGCCCCGATGAGCGACATACTAGGTAAGATAACAGTATGAGCCCAGCATTTACGATTTGTCGAGGCTGACACCTCATCCCATGCCTCAGATGACCACAACATAGGGTCTCAAGCATTAAAACGTTGCAACCTGTTGTTGCAGCTTTCGTATCGACAGATGCACTTTCACCATGAAGGCGATGAACCCAGAAGTTGTGGCGTCGCTGGAATTTGTGTAGCCAACCTTGAGATGCCCGAAATGAAGTGCCAATGCCCAGGTCCGCTGCGAGTCGGAGAGCATTCTGCTTGTGCATAGGCCCAGTAATGCAGACGTTGTTCGTGTTTGCTGTTTCGACCCACTGGGTCAGCTGATCGTCGAGTTCGGGGTACTTGGGCAGCTTTAAATTACAGCGTATGTTTGTTGCGGCGTCGGCAATGCTGGAGCTCTGTGTTGCCCGACCGTCTTGAAGTATGCGAGCCATTGTACTCTTATAACCGAGAAACCAAATTCTTGATTTGCCCAGTTACACATTTGACCTAAGGTCATTTGGCCTTGCTGCTGAGCTCTGTACATGT